TAGGTTAAAATACATAGGCCATTATGTTATAACATTACATTTATTATAATTCTGAAAAAAAAAAACGTGGCGTATGGAGGGGAGGGAAAGCTAGGCTTACTTTCACGTAAAATGGAAAGGGATCAGAGTACGGTTGAATGCTAATAAATACAGCACCGTCAAGGCTAAAAAATTGTTCAAACACCGACTGCCTAGGCAACCATGAATGCTAAATTTAGAACGTGTAGCCTATACGAGGTTATGTTCAAAAGTACGTTCAACCCCTTATCAATGATGTCGTAAAAATATGTTAACAGTTCATTTTAAATCGATATGTAATACAAATCAGTTACTCTTCAAATAGTACTATACACACATTATAAAAATGGGTGGTGGGGGGCTACGTGAATTGGCATATGAGAACATGATCATTTGTAGCATGAACTTGTAGCATGTAACTTCTTTCTTTTGCTATGTTGTCATTAGTCCTAAACCATTACTCTAATAATTGCTACTTGACTGCAGGTGCAGCCGATCAAACACTATTTTCTATGAAAGACTCAATGAAATTATCAATGACAGAGTCAATGATAACTACCGCTCTCCTGTATTTTTCTCTCGAGAAACTCAATGATAAAGCGTTAGTAGTTATAAAGAGAGAGAGAGTTTATCAAAACGGAAATAATTCAACTCGTTTAATTAATAAAGCGTTAAACGTAATTATTAATTCTTAATTTCTCAGCGATACAATTGTTTAGGGACAATTAAACTATTTTTTTAAAATATAGATCCTCGATCTTCATTTATAATTTATTAATTAAAATAAGATTTTTAAAAAATAATTAAAACAGGTCTTTGTACTATATTATTAAAAAAAAAACAATTAATGAATATAATAAATAATTTTGCAAGGTAATCTTTTATAGAACCTACATGATTAACTTTTCTTCTAATAATAAAAAAAAACTCTAAATAAAAACTATTATTCCTACAAATATTAGAGTAGTCTCCCTTGACAGTTTCTATTCGAATGTATTTTGTGTTAATTTTCGTTATGAAATACAGTTGACTTTTTAAATTAATTATATAAGAAAGCAATCTATCTCTGTGTATATTTATTTTAAAAAATATTATTACAATAATTAGAATGGGTGTTTCTGCTTAAATAGCAATAATTCTCATTCTAAATCTTTGGCTATCGAGTTTCATGGGTTTTTAAATTTAAGATTATGAACACATTGGCTTGACGAAAATGATTATATACACTTAAATACATACTAAAATTTACTTTTGTTAATAAACCTACACTATTTTATGCACACATACAAAAAAGAATATTTTAGTGGCAGTTACAACGTCAAAAAAAAGGAAACTCCTTTATACTGAATAGTTCTACGTAACAACAAAAATGTAAAAATACATAGTCCTAGAGCACACTAACACATACATATATATATATATATACGAAGATATGTGTGTGTGTAAGTAGGATGTGTGGTGGGTAGACAGGCGGGGTGGAAGGAAAGCAGTTTGGCAGGAATAACGGTAGGTAGGAAAGTAGGTAGACAGGCAGCAGCGCAGGCAGGTTAGTAGATAAGTAGGTACATAGGCAGGGAGTTAGGTATGTAGGTAGGTGGGCCTAGGTAGGAAGGCGCCTCACTCGGTATAGTGAGCGATTATAGTAGCCCATCATATTCATAGCGTTTCGCAATTATTAAAACGAACAAAGGTACCATAGTACTCACGGGAAAACACGGGAAGCTAAATGGAACCCTGCCAGGGCGCCACCAAATCGAATTTTTTTTCGCAGAAACCACCACAGGGGTATTAGCATTAACTTCTCAGATTTGAATGACAAACGAATGAAATCTTTGGTAATGCTTATACAAACAAACCCACATATTCGTTTTTGGGGCGCGGGTTTGTCCACACTGCCGCCTAGACGCACCAAGGCTCATGGTATGAAAGCCTTGAGTGTACGTTAATCAACCTCTGTAATAGTGAGGTAGAACACACATTGCGACCGCCCATGTGTTAGAGACGCGTCCCTTGGCGCTCCAGGGAGCCACTGGTTATACTCCCGCAGGGGCGCCCCTAATTCGGTTTAATTATAAAATGTCGTGTGCCACCGTGTCCCTATTGTAGGGTGCTCTTTAAAGAGGCACTCTCTGTAGAGCCCGGGGCGCTTGCTGTCGCCAACTGCCAGGGCGCCGGCGGGCGCTCATTATTCTACTTAGTGAACATTTATAGTAGCCCATCTAAACCGTAGTGTCGCCCGAGGTGGGTCTTGGCCGCTCTGGGCCACTCAACCGCCAGGGAGCTGGCGGATGAACCTGGTGTAGTTTTATCACTGAATCTCAGAGGCGGAGCACCATTCCTGGCGCCTGGGGACAAATTTTCAATTTGGCGCCCTCCCCCCCCCCTCCCGCCGGAGACAAACTTTCAATTTGGCGTCCCCCCCCCCCCCGTATTTTTAAAATATTTATAATGCAAAACTGTAGCTAAAATGAGCTTTTAAATTTTTCCCACCCATTTTGGCGCCCCTAGGGTTGGCGCCCGGGGACATATGTACCCCCCGCCCCCCTCGCTACGCCTCTGCTGAATCTAGTATTACATATGACCGCAATTGATGAGATAGCCCCTCTGAATTCCCCTCTGGATTCTGAGCTCATAATCGTATAATGAGAGAAATCGAATCCTCCCAGGGTGCCACACTGAAGAATTTTTTTCTTTCTCGAAACCCTTTTCACCAACTCCCCAAAATTTTATGACTCTCGTACGAACAGTGTCAAATTGCATCTGGCTTTTATTTTTATGGAGAAAAATTGTATTGCTTCCTGTCAGAGACCCCAGATCGAATGGGGCGCCAAAAGGGGTAGACATTTTTTTTTAAATCCTCATTCTTCAGTAAAATTTAAGAAAACAGATTTATCCATGACTGATATCCTCAATTATTTTATATAGGGGAGTGAATGTAGGGATGGGCGCCTTTTTGCCAGCGTTTGAATAGGGTTGGCACAACAGTGATAGTTCGCCCCGGGCGCCGGAATAGGTTGCTACACCTCTGCTTCCTGCTAGGGCGCCGCCCTGGCGAAATCTTTCCGGCGGGGTGGGCGTGCGGACACTGTTAAAAGTATATTTTTTTTCTATATAAATTCCGTTTCGTTCGGGGGTGGGGGGGGGGGGTCGATAGACTTTCTTCGGGGGGTGGGGGGGGGATCTACATGGACTACCTACAGGTCCTAACTCGCGACGAGGTACACATTTGTATTAAAAAATTTTCGGGGGAGCAAAGCCCCCCCCCCCCCCCCCGAAGAGATGCCTGGGAGAAACTCTGTCTAAGACATTTTCCATTTAGGTGGGTTTTGCAGTACAGTGGTTTCTTAAGTCGTGGACAAATGATTGCGCTTATCTCTATTGAGTAGCTATGTATTCTGTCCTATATTAGACACATTTGTAAATATCTGTCACAATATGGGCATAGAGATGATATAACGATAGCTTATCTTTGCGGACGACGCTAAACTTTGGCATCGACACCACCGCCTACAAGTTCAAATTCGGTCCTTCAGAAATGTTTGAAGTCTCTAGATTAAAACTACTTTTCTCTTTTATGTGCCTACTGACCACATCACAGTCATGCATTTGTTCTGAAAGTCTAAAAACAGAGGCACAAATATATCGTCTAGACTTGTGAGGTCTACAGATTAGGTATTTTGGCAGTTATCTAAGCCTTTGCCTGTTCTGACTCAAAGCCTTATTCTTTCTCTATCGACGCCTTGCGTAACATGGGATTGGGTTTTTAAGGCGGCATAAAGCTTTATGTTCTTCCTTTTTGAGTACACTAGATTAAAAACTAACGTTTTCAGATGCCTAAAGATGTTTAACCACTAATTAATCAGAATAATGGGTCAAGATTTCAATTCTTGGTTTTGGGACACGTTAGTTGCCGGGGTTGAGCTAATGTCGATAGCATAAGGACTGTACCTTGATGCGGGCGTTTTATTTGTTGCCCATCGTAATAATTGAATGGTTGATGGGGCTTCTTCAATGGTTTGATTTGCCGTAATGTTAATGATATCATGTATGTGAGGCTTTTCTAAGAAGAAAATGCGTTAAAACACTTTTTAGTTATGCTTTTTTAAAATAGGCCTATATTTTACGACAAAATAATCGTAATGAACAATAAAATGAATTTAAACAACTTTAGAATACACCTGTTTCGGCTAACATGAATGTTATTCTTCAAACTTGTAATGTTAAACGTGTCTTTTTCGCATTTTCGACTTATAAGCAATACAGTAAATTCCGATAACTTCCATATGCGTACAAGCAATGGCGTAGGCGAGGAGGGGTTTAATAGTGATTTAATAATGATACTTTCTTAACCCTCTACTGGACATCATGTTTGGTACCTTGCCCCCGGCAACTGGGTGGATTTGGATTACACCCAAGTTTTACTTCATAGTAAATGACTTCAGTTTTAATTATTGGAGTTGGTAGCAACATTGACACAGTTGAAGGTATTCAGAACAAGGTGGCCAGGAGAAATCACATTAATTAGTATAAAATTTACCATTACTAACAATAGGCCTTACTTAATTGTTTAATGTTGCTGGATATTAAGCCTGGTAGGTATTTATGTTTATTAATTTGTACAGAAACAAAAAAAGGATTCCCAAACAAAGTTTTATTTTTCAGAAATAAAGAAAATTATACAAATCAATAAAGAACAGTTTTCAAAAGAATTTGTATAAAAGTAATTATTATAAAATAGGAATATAGCATTGCATAGATAAAAATAAAATACTTGACACAAACAATATGAGGAATATTTTTTATCAGAGAGGAGAAAAATATATGATGTAGTTTGAAAATAATAATGTACAGAATGTAACTTTTGCAGATTAAAATGAAAATTCTCATGCCTATATAATTTATTGAGTAAATGAAGCAAGGCCCAAAACACTAGGCTAAATACTATGCATGGGACAGGCATTGAAAACTACAAATTGCATAAAGTGAAGGTTACCCTATTTATTGGCTATATCCACAGTAAAGATTTATGGCTTTATTACCTGCTTGTAAAATTGTTAAGGAAAAAGTGAAGTATTGTTAACGGCACATGTTGTCATTTTTTGTGTTCTCGGCACATGTTGCCATTTTGTGTGTTCTGGGAACATGTAGCCATTTTGTGTGTTCTGGGCACATAATGACATTTTGTGTGTTCTGGGAACATGTTGCTATTTTGTGAGTTCATGGAACATGTTGACATTGTTTGGCTGTGTTCTGGGAACATGTTGCCATTATTTGGCTGTGTTCTGGGAACATGTTACCATTTTGTGTGTTCTGGGAACATGTTGCCATTTTGTGTGTTCTGGGAACATGTTGAAATTATGTGGCTGTGTTCTGGGAACATGTTTGTTTCATTTTTAAATATTATAATAAAACATTTTTAGAAATTCTATATTAGGAATTGTGTATATATATAAATTTATATATTTAATAAGACAATTGGATGAATTATAATAAACAGCAAAAATGATTCAAATAAGTTTAGAAGTATTTGGCTTGATGTCCCAACAGTGAACTGTATTCCGAGCTTGTTTCCCTAGTGATAACCCATCTTTTTTGTGCCACCCTTCCAATCAAATATCCAGCTTTTTCTTGGCCTGTATCATATTGCTGGTTATAGACTTGCTTGATTTGTGTATCACAATATGATTTTGAATGTTCTTCTGTAAATGAAATAAAGACAAAATATTTTGAAATATTCTTTTGTGGAACTAGCAAGAGAAATACACTACAAATTATTATTACTATCTCTACTATTTCTTTACTATAACTAATTACTTTGAAAAGATAAAGCACTGAACATGATGAATAACAAGAAACAAACATTATCAGCAAATATTATAGATTTAAAATTGTGTTCATTCATATTGAAGATTAATGAAGTAGACTATCAATATTTACCCTCTTGATAGCTGATACTTTGATTTGATGTCTTTACTTTAAGCTTACACATCAGTCTCTGTGTGGTAAAATATGAAATAATATGCTTCAATAAAACTGTTTCAGTATATTAATTATATTAGATAAGTACATAGTTTTGAGCTCTATAACAATATGTGTTTCAATTATCATTCAAATATAATACCCTCTATGTTTTACAACTCACTGATTTATTAGAATTTAAGAAAAGACAATAATTAATAAAATATTTTGGATTAAAATCCATTATATTTATTTTAACATATAATGCTATCTCTTGCTATAATAATTACTTTAAAAAATGGGTTATGCCTATAGTACAGTTACCTGAGGATGAAACTAGGCACAGTGTATAGTCCACGGAGACTGATTAATATCCCTTGTAATTGAACATCAGTTGTAGTTATGAAATCTGGATGGCCAAACACACACTCATAGTCCTGAAAAGCAATTTACACATAGATTAGCAAGAATATCTCACAAATTATTAAATTAAAGCTAACCCCTATTTAGTGCAATCCATCAAAGTAGTAGCATTTTTGTTAAGTTGTATACAAAATACAAAGTAATGTTTGTTCTGTGATTTACATAATTTTATAAAATAGCAATATATATATATATATATATATATATATATATATATATATAGGCCTATATATATATATATATATATATATATATATTCATTGTAAATTTTAGTTATGTCTTGCTATTAAATTTATTTACTCGACTGATCTAAACTCACTTTATTTAAACATAATATAGTGGATAAGTATAGTGATTTTATTATTCAGCAATAAATAGCAGGCCTAAAAATTTTTAAATAGTAACGTTTGCGAATGAACACATTAAATTCTATGTATTTCCATTTCTATGTCTTTCCCAACTTGATGCATATTACTAACCAAGCATTAAACTATAGTCCTAAACCTGACTCTAATTATCATTTATCGGACAACCTGAACCTTTGCGATACCATGTTATAATATATTATTTTAAAAAAGAGCTTACCACTTATTACTAAAATCAATTGTTTTTAGTATTAACTGAGCCGCATACTATTTGCTCCTATTGTCATCACCAGAAATCCAGTATGTTGGCAAAGATTAGTCTCTAAGTTCCCTGCAACCTCCTTCCTCTTGAGTGCGGAAAACACTGAAATTATTAATCATTATTTCATTATGCCTAATAGTTTAAAGGTAGTATTAAAGTAGTACTAAATAGTATGAGTCTTAGTTACTATAGGTCTAATGATAATTATTATTGTGTATGCTTACATGTTTTAAGTTTTATGCACAATATTGGTATATAATATATATAGTATATAGCCTAAGCTATAGAGTATATAGGCCTATAAACCTAAATATAACAGCAGCTTGAATAATGCTCATTAGCATGCATTCACTATAAACTATAAAGATAAACAAAACAATTTAATTTAATTATAACTAATAATAGTAAATAGGCTTTTTTCTTGTGGTAACAAATTTAAAGTATAGGGCAGTACAGTTATAGTATAGGCCTACTAGATTATATATTTAAGTATGTGGGCTTTTCATTCCAATGCACCACAATAGATACCACACATGATCAAGCTGGACCTCTGATCTAAAGATTTAATAATTGGGCCTAACAAACAGTGAAACTACAATAAAAATCATGTAAATTACTAATTTAACCTTCTTACCTCCGCTTCTCTAGATCTAGATGGGTTTTCTTTTTATGCAGCCGTATGATTAGATTCTAGAATCTAGACTATATTCTAATAAACATGAAATAACTACTAACCAGAACACTAGATCTAAATTTCTATATTCTAAGAAATATGTATTAAACCTATAGGCCTAATATTTATTTTAAATTCCTATGCGATGTGTCGTGAACTGTAGGTTTCATGTTATTTTTGTAATGGCGGAAATCAGTTTAAAATTTCGTTTCCTTCCTTTTGTTATTCTATTTATAGATTCAAAAGTCGGAGCAATTATCATTGAGTTTGTCGGCTAATCCACACAGGAAGTGACCGTATATCTATTAGTTACTCAGTGATCCGATCATTGACAGATACAGAGATAGCCATTCGCATGGGGTGGCAGGTGGAAGACTAGTGAAAGTTGAAGTAGCGCTATAACTATATCGACCGTCCACTCGACCAGCAACACACACACAGACACACACACACATACACACAGACACACACACTATGTAGATGAAGTGGGCGCTATATTAAAACACTGTTTCAAATGTGATCTCTCTTTCACTCTATTCGGGCTGAATTAACACGACTAATAATGAGAGTGGGGGTTCGCATTATGTTAATGGAGGGTGCTTGTGTCAGTTGGTGATGTTTTGTTTCATCTTGTTTGACAATCAGTGTTTCTTCCAGACTTTTTTCTCCGGGGGGGCACTTGAAATCTTCGGGGGGGCGGTAAACTTTCTTCGGGGGGGCGGACACTGTTAAAAGTATATATTTTCTATATAAATTATATAAATTTCATTTCGTTCGGGGGGGCGGCAAAAATTTTTCGGGGGGGCTTCGCCCCCCCGAAGAGATGCCTGGAAGAAACTCTGTTGACAATGCGGGTTGAACAGTCACTTGCTTAAACAAAGGATTTAATCCACCTGTCTGAACACGGTGTTTTAATCACGAATAACGGACTGCAATTGTTACACTTCAGTTTGTCTTTGATATTCGAAAGGAAAATAGAATTAACGCATGACCGTAAACAATCCTAGCTTCTAAATATAAATGCCGCATTATTTTCCCACGAGATAAGTCGTTCTATCTACACACTTTTCACCTTTAGTTCTATATACACAATTCTCAGGACTTAAGTTCTATCCACACCATTTTTATGTAATCTTTAGTTCTATACACACAATTTTCGTATAATCTTTAGTTGTATCCCCACAATATTCATAGAATCTTTAACTCTATCTACACACTTTTCATATACTCTTTAGTTCTATACGCACAATTGTTATATAATCTGTAGTTCTATCCACACAATTTTCAAGCAAAACACACATAAAAGCCCTTCAGTTAGTGCGCGAACAAAGAGCGTCAGGTCAGCAAGTTGAATATGTGACCCACAAAGATAAGGCGCCATTATAAATCAAGAAAGTAATTTACATGGGAGGAAAATTTATGTTGTAGGGCCATCATAAATCCCGTGTTTTAACTGGTTGTAATTTATTAATAGTCTTCTCTCCTACCTAACACTTCCATCCTACCAGCCCCGATATAACACATACCGTTCACAAGCAGGGGTTCTTTCAGACTTTTGTAGAGGGGCTTAATCAAACTGTGTGTGTGGGGAGGTGACAGTTAAAATGTCCTCGTGGACAGTGTGGTCGAGCGATCGACTGCTAGCCAGAAGGTCTGGGGTTCGGATCTCTGTTTGGACTTGAGACTGCAGGACGTCCCAGAGTTCACCCAGTACTTATGGGTACCGGACTTATCTTAGGAAAAGTAAAGGCGACCGGGCATATTGCTGACCACACCATGCTTTCATATACCAAGGGGTCATCCATAAATGACGTCACACTCGTAGGGGGGAGGGGGGGTCCGTAATTTTGTGACGATGTGTGATGAGGGGGAGGGAGGGGGGGGGGGTTCAGATGTTGCGACGTCACATTTTTGCATTATAAAAAAGCAATGTTAGAAAACGAATTTTAGACGTTATTTCGCGTTTTAGATAACTGTTTTAATATATTGTAATAGTTTAGACAAGATTTTGAAAAAAATATCGATGTTTTAAAAAAAGTCAACTGCAATTTTGAGGGGGGTTGTAGGTTGAGGTGTGACGTCATTTTAGGGGGGGGGGGGTCTGACTTTTTGTGACGACGTGTGACGGAGGGGAGGGGGTGAGGTAAAAATCGTCAAAAAAAGCGTGACGTCATTTATGGATGACCCCCAAGGTCAAGAAACATGTGAACTCTACTTCATCTGCCCTACAGATCGCAAGGTATGAAAGTGGAGCTTTACTTTTACTTAAAACTTCACTGGGGAAGATGGGGTGGAAACTTTTTAATGTATATATCTTCAATATATAGTCCCCCTATTTTTCCCGAGGGGGGAAGGGTGGACGTGCGCCTGGTTGATGCCTGAAAGAAACACTGTTGACAACAACAAGCCTCGCCTAACACACAACATATTTGACGTTTGCTAAACCTAGGCAGTAAAACACTTACTGATAAAAAAAAACACATGAAGCTTGACAATGACATTGCTTTTGATAACAGACGTACGGCGAAATCAAGTGCTTATAAAAGAGGTATTAAAAATTCTTGGGACAGACACATTTTGTACTTGACTCAAGGCAGACAACTTGAAATGTGCACTCTTTATGCATAAGGCATTTCGATCCGTGCTTAAACACACATGATATATAATAGAACATAACTTTTTATATTAAACTATTTCACTTCTAGACTACCTTTAGAAAAGTATATTTTTATATTAAACTATTTCACTTCTAGACTACCTTTAGAAAAGTATATTTTTATATTAAACTATTTCACTTCTAGACCACCTTTAGAAAAGTATTTCTTACTTCATATTTATTCCCCTCACATTTGTTGCCATACACTAAATCCGCTGTGTCCTTCTATCCAACACAAAAAGGCGAAATTTGAATCCCATGAATGCGACATTAGCAGATTTCAGGACGAGGCTGACAGATTTACGACTCGACGTTAATATTTAAAATTTACATTTTAGAATCTACCTGTTGGGTGGGGCTCACTAGAAACTAGTTTCGATCTAACTCCCTCAAATACATTTTATCAAAACTATATATAGTTTACATATTCATTTCTTTGAAAATATTAAATGGTAAGTTAAATGTGCTATGGTGTAAAAGATGTTAGAGAACAATAGGCGTAGACTACAAACATTCCAACGCATAGACCAACGTGATTTGTGTAGGATAGATCTAGAATAGGCCATAGGCCAACATGAACCCCAACGCAAAGACCTACGCGATTTACATAGGCCTAAAGTAGAGTCTCGCTTACTTAATGCTAGAATATATTTATTGTTAACTCCTAGACAGAGTCCGGCGACCCTAGACACGAGTACGGCTCTAATAGACACAAATAAGGCTCTCATAGACACGGCTCTCATAGATAGAAGTATGGGCTCACATAGACACGAGTATGGGTTCACATAGACACGAGTATAGGCTCACGAGTATGGGCCCACATAGACACGAGTAAGGGCTCCCATAGACACGAGTATGGGCTCACGAGTACGGGCTCACATAGACACGAGTATAGGCTCACATAGACACGAGTATAGGCTCACAAAGACACGAGTATGGGCTCACGAGTATAGGCTCACAAAGACACGAGTATGGGCTCACATAGACACGAGTATGGGCTCACATAGACACGAGTAAGGGCTCACATAGACACGAGTATGGCCTCACATAGACACGAGTATGGGCTCACATAGACACGAGTAAGGGCTCACATAGACACGAGTATGGCCTCACATAGACACGAGTATGGGCTTACATAGACACGAGTATGGGCTCACATAGACACGAGTATGGGCTCACATAGACACGAGTAAGGGCTCACATAGACACGAGAATGGCCTCACATAGACACGAGTATGGGCTTACATAGACACGAGTATGGGCTCACATAGACACGAGTATGGGCTCACATAGACACGAGTATAGGCTCACAAAGACACGAGTATGGGCTCACATAGACACGAGTATGGGCTCACATAGACACGAGTATGGGCTCACATAGACACGAGTATGGGCTCACGAGTATGGGCTCACATAGACACGAGTATGGGCTCACATAGACACGAGTATGGGCTTACATAGACACGAGTATAGGCTCACAAAGACACGAGTATGGGCTCACATAGACACGTGTATAGGCTCACAAAGACACGAGTATGGGCTCACATAGACACGAGTATAGGCTCACAAAGACACGAGTATGGGCTCACATAGACACGAGTATGGGCTCACATAGACACGAGTATGGGCTCACGAGTATGGGCTCACGAGTATAGGCTCACAAAGACACGAGTATGGGCTCACAAAGACACGAGTATAGGCTCACAAAGACACGAGTATGGGCTCACATAGACACGAGTATGGGCTCACGAGTATAGGCTCACAAAGACACGAGTATGGGCTCACAAAGACACGAGTATGGGCTCACATAGACACGAGTATAGGCTCACAAAGACACGAGTATGGGCTCACATAGACACGAGTATAGGCTCACAAAGACACGAGTATGGGCTCACATAGACACGAGTATGGGCTCACATAGACACGAGTATGGGCTCACGAGTATGGGCTCACATAGACACGAGTATAGGCTCACATAGACACGAGTATGGGCTCACATAGACACGAGTATGGGCTCACATAGACACGAGTATGGGCTCACATAGACACGAGTATGGGCTCACGAGTATGGGCTCACGAGTATGGGCTCACAAAAACACGAGTATGGGCCCACATAGACACGAGTATGGGCTCACATAGACAAGAGTATAGGCTCACAAAGACACGAGTATGGGCTCACATAGACACGAGTATGGGCTTACATAGACACGAGAATGGACTCACCTAGACACGAGTATGGGCTCACATAGACACGAGTATAGGCTCACAAAGACACGAGTATGGGCTCACATAGACACGAGTATAGGCTCACAAAGACACGAGTATGGGCTCACATAGACACGAGTATAGGCTCACAAAGACACGAGTATGGGCTCACATAGACACGAGTATGGGCTCACATAGACACGAGTATGGGCTCACGAGTATGGGCTCACATAGACACGAGTATAGGCTCACATAGACACGAGAATGGACTCACATAGACACGAGTATAGGCTCACATAGACACGAGTATGGGCTCACATAGACACGAGTATGGGCTCACGAGTATGGGCCCACATAGACACGAGTATGGGCTCACATAGGCACGAGTATGGACTCTCATAGACACGAGTATGGGCTCACATAGACATAGTCCGACGCCCCTAGACACGAGTGTTGAGCCTCAGGGCA